CGCGGGGCCCCAGCACCCGCGGGCAGCCGACTCGGCGCCCCCTGCTGGGCAGTCAGAACGAGCCGGGAGGCTGAGGGCTTTACACGCGTGGGCGCGGGAGCAGCCTACCTGTGACGAAGGTGAAAATGCCCTTCACGAAGGCGCTGGACTGGCAGGCGGCGTACTCCCCCAGCCCCTGGGGGGGTGAAGGCTCAGTGCCCCTCCCTCTTCCCGCGCGGTCCCCGCGTCCCTCCTCTCCGCACGCGGGCGAGACCCTGGGGANGCCGGGACGGCGGGAGGCTGGCGCGCGCTCGGCCGCCCTGCCCCGTTCAGACGCCGTCAGCGGCGGAGGGGGTTGATGGAATTGCTTGCTGGGGTGGGGCTTTGCTTAGGGATTCAATCTCTTGAAAATGACCACGGAGTCGTGATGTATCAAAGGGTTATTTAGCAAATTCCAAAAATACTATAAGCCCATACTTGGTGCGGGCTCTGTGCTGGGAGCTGGGGAGCCCACGGAGGAGGCAGAACCCCGGCCCTTAAGGGCAGGCGGGTGAGCAGAGCCGGGGGAGAGAGGGAAAACAGGACAAGGAGGGGACAGGTCCTTGTGCTGGCCGGTGGGGGCTGGGGGGCCCCTGGGACCCCGGAGTCAATGTGGCCCCAAGGCTGGGCTGGTGGGGGGTGGGGGTGGCCCTTCCCTGAAGGGCCTTCTTGGCCCCATGCTTCTTGTGCTCTCTGACCCAACCCACAGAGGTCCCAGGACCTGGAGCTGCAGGGTGAGGAGCCCACTCCGAGGCCTGAGAGTGTCCCCAGCCCATGAGGCTGCAGCCCATGTGCCTGTCTGCCCTGGAGAGGTTCAGGGCTCCAACTTGGTCCCTGGAGCCGGACCCCCTCCGCGGGAGTCCTGCCCGCCTCCCAGCACAGGGCGGCCTATTTAGGCTGTGAGCCCCCAACACTGACAGACAGGGTGAGCCTGGGTGGGGCTGGGCATGCTGCAGGTCTCTCCCAGGGTCTCACCTCTGGGTGCCTCAGGAAGCTCTGTGGAAATGCTGCTGGGGTCCCCACCACATGGGCCAGATAGGGTCCAGAGGCCACTCCCTTCTCTGTCCTAAAGGCTCCGTTGGAGCCGACTGATTTGGAGGAGGGCTCCTTGCTCCTCTGGAACTTTCTTCCTCTGCAAGCCCTGTGGGGCACTAGGTGCCTGGCTCCAGGAGGGGCCCTTCCACCCTGCAGGCTGTGTGGGTGTGCCCATGTGTACACCGTGAGCTGCACAAGCGTGTGGGTGCGTAAGGACACCCACCCACCCAAGGTGGGACCCGCAGGCACCTTGCCAGGAGATTACTGGAAGGATATCAGGATCCAGATTAGCAGAGGGAAGTGGGGCCCGGAAGAGATTAACCAAAGAGTTTATATACATATATGCATAACCCAGGGGCGCAGACAATAGTGCTGTGAAGGCCTGGGGC